TATATATATAGCTGGTAGTCACCTATTTATCCAGTAGTTTCAGGTAACATTTATGTAATTATTTCAACAGTTTATCCATTAAATAAATGTTTTAAACAAAATCAAATCTCAATTTTTATTTTGTCAAGTTAGTTGATCTACTCTACAATGCCTGGCTACTTTATAAGTGTCATTAGTTGGTGATCAGTGACTTAGAAGGCAGACATGTAATAATGTATAATAATGTATATGCAGGACTTACCTTTTTTTTAGCTATTACTTCTTGGTATTTTGTCTTGATTTACATTAATATGCACACAGGTGATGTCAAGAAACATAAAGAGCAAGAGCAGCATAACATACTACCCAGGATGAATCTGTGGACATTGTGATTGTGTGGCATGTGCTGTAACCAGTTGAGTACCAGGGCTCTCCCAGGACTTAACTCTTTATTGGCTTTCCTACAACACTTGACAAACAGAAAAAGCTGAATTGAAAACAAAACATCTCACACCATCATGATAGAGGGGTCAACAGTCGCTGACAGCTAAACTCTGACCACAGAAAACCCACTTAGATTTGGAAAGAGAACCAGGGTGAAGAAAAAATCCCAGAGGGAACAGTGTAAACCCCGGTGTCATTTGACATTTGTTATCCAGAAATGCAACTAACAATACAAAGTTACACAAGAACAAACTTACTTAATTCCTGGGTAACCAACATGACATGTCTTAAGTAGCAAAGTGCAAAAGTATGCCTTGCAAATGGTTTAGAGAAAGTCATTCTCAAATTGAGATATCAGAGCTTCCACTAGTAGTAAAACACAACAAAGCATCTGGCATGGCCTCAAACAGGGACTGTAAGGTGGAAATATTCTGGAGCACATAAAAAACATGACGAAGGATCCAAATGCCTGGCCAGGTCAAGTGCTGTGATGAGAAGGATGGAAAGTCAAGTGCACCAGTCCAGGGGCAGAATCAGAATCAGTACTCGCTGCATTTTAGAGATACAAATAAGAGGAGACATAAAGAGGAAATGTCAGAAACGAATTGCAAGAGGCAAAGAGAGAGAGTGACTCCAGTTCTGATTATATGATGAAGCATCCACTCGTACCGCAAACTTTCCCCTCCCATTTCCAGTTTTGACTTTATTTAAAATCTGCTGCAGTATCTTCAGTACCTAGCTTCAATGTTATAATCTCGTAAACATGGAGGTTACTGCTTGCGCAGAGGGTGCAATTTCTTTCATTCTAACTGATGCACAGATTCAACGCATTAAAGTTTGCTTTCTGCGAAACCAATAAAGTAAATAAACAACCAAAATGGGTAAATCATTATTGGGTGAAACCAGTTCCGGCACCTTTATTTCTCTGCCATTTGTTGTGAGGTAGGTAGCATACAGCTGCTTTACAAAGCCTTCAAAAAACCTGCTTGGACACAGCACTGATTTAAAGCTGTGAAAGTCAACGAAACAAAAAAGTTGGGTACCAAATAACCAGAGCAACATTTGGGCAAAGACTTATAAACAAAATGTGCAGAATTGACAGGAACAGTAGATTTGTATGATCATTTTCTGTGGGTTCATCACCATGAGAGACACATTTTTACATTAAACATAGTCATTTAATCCACTGGTAATATAAAAATACTGAAGTTTTAAAGCTATGTACTGGCTACAAGTGAATTACATCAGTGTAGCAACCGGGTGAGAAAGTTCTGAAGAAATCATTTCACAGACATGAAGCAGTTTACCAGCTTCTGTGAAATGATTTTGTCACTGCTGAGACTTTCACTGCATACTCCACACCACCCAATACTTTTAAGATGTTTAAATACAATGACAGCTCTGTAAATTTAAATTATTGAAAAAGAAATTTCTTCTTACACTTAGAGTACTTATTAAATTATGGGTTTCTACAACCTATCACTGCACTATTATGATGTAAAATAATTAAAGATATGCTCTTGGCACAGACCTCAAGCCTCTCACATGCTGTTAAACTCAAAGAGTCCTACTCAGTAATTGCTGCTCTCAGATTCCCACTTTCCACTGTTGGGAGTTTAATTGCTGCCATAGAGTATCCCTCCCTGGGGGCTCAGCTTTCTCCCTTCCTCTCCAAAACAGAAACAGTCTGGCAGCATGTACAGCTTATGTTTCACCACAGTTGGGTCTCCCGTGTCTCAGAACTGATTGTGTGTGTGTGTGTGTGTAGGTAGGTATGTGTTTAAGGAAACTACTGATCATACCAAGCCCTATAGCTCAAGTGTCTTTAGGCATAAAAGGGCTGTTATTATTATCGGCCAAAACTGGCCATGACCAGATTGGTTCAGTGTTGTCTGTGACTGCATGAGCAGACATGCCTTTCAGAGCCTGAAAACCCTTAGGGTGATGGTCACACCTACACACTGTTGCCAAAATACTCTCTGACTGTCCATTTCCTGTGGTTACAAATTATAATTGCAGTGTGCCAACATCAAATTCTGAGAAAAATTAGGTGAGTGTGCAATAGTGCATGTATAATGACAAACTGAAAAGGGAGATACAAATCTCATCACCAATTCTAAAGAACTTCTTTCATGGTCCTACACTAGACCTAATGATGACATAACATCAAGTGAGCAGATATGCTTGTGTCTGCAGTTCTGTGTTGTGCAGCCAAACACTCAAGGGCCAGGCAGAACTCTTTGTGCCTGCCTAGTGACAGCAGACTGAACCGTCTTGCTGGACACGGTGTAACAGTTTGTTTATGCCATGCTCAAATAAGAGGCTAAATTTAGACATGCAAGAATATTTCAAAATAAAAAGAGACATAGTTCTGATTTTTGGCCATAAATGACTTATCAGTATGGATGCATTCCTAATATTAATCCAACTAGAAAGTGGTAACTTACCAGGCAAAAGTACTTTAAGTAACATGGGCTCCTTCTAGACTGTAAACATAGCCTTTAGCTCGCGACAGCTTTTACATTATAACTAGATTTTCTACAAATAGAGAAATAAATTCCTATTTAAGACTGGTATAAATGAATTATATTAATATAGAGAGTATGTGGCCACAGCTCTCAGCATCCATGTGGTGAAGACAGAGAGAAAGGATGGAAGAAAAAGAAACAATGCTTTTGTAGCTCAATTAACTGTCTCATGTAACTTGACAGACTTTGTCTCACCCAATTTTAATAATTCATTTATCTTTTTGTTCAGTTATGTATACACACACACACACACACACACACACACATATATATATATATATGTGTGTGTGTACACATACATTTATCTGTCACCTGTATTAGATATGTAAAAATATAACAGGCTATGAAATTTTTTTTAAAAGAGAGGGAATAATAAGTTAGTTAAAACACTAGAGGCTACGGAAAATCCTCTTTAAAACGGGTCTGCTACATGGTATATCACCGAGAAAAGTCTTTAAGAGATAACATACAGTACTGTAGTTTAAGCCAATCTGCCCACATGCATTATTGACATGGTGAAGGCCCCTTTAAATCCTCTTCCACAAAGTCTACGCAGCTGCCCGCTCAAGGCCGGCGAGATGCAGCACAGTCATGAGTGATCACTGCCTGCTCATGGATGCTTACCCTGTCGCGGTATTAATTGTGGCGAAATTATATAAATAATAGATTTTTTTTACAAAGTCTACGCAGCTGCCCGCTCAAGGCCGGCGAGATGCAGCACAGTCATGAGTGATCACTGCCTGCTCATGGATGCTTACCCTGTCGCGGTATTAATTGTGGCGAAATTATATAAATAATAGAGTTTATTTATTTATATATACATACATACACACACACACACACACACATATGTATATGTAGTAAGACATTTGTGACTCGCCCCCTCTGTTTAGCTGCTTCAAGCTTGCACGAAGCTAATAGGAAGTATAATGAATTGGTCTTCAAAATAAGAGAGAGGCAAACCGTTTCGAATGGGGTTCATCGTAAGGACCTTTATTTTGAAGGTGATTACTGTTAGCCGTACCTGCCGTAACAGAAGCCAACTTGGCGACCGTGATTTCTCGCTTTTCTCTATGTACTCCTCAAACTAGCCTAAACTGGATGGCTCAAACGCATCAGTAATAGCAACATAACGGAAACAAACCCAAACAGTGACAGTGACAGAAACAGACAAAACTGTCTAAATGCAACCATAGATCAAGTCCATACATATTATTTAAAGGATAGTATGGCTTTTATTTATTATCAGCCCCTGCGCTGTCTGAATGACCGAGAGCAGACAGCCAATGACTAGGCCACAAAGTCATACACAGCAGCCGAATACTGTTCATATGTTTCATTTACACATAACGTTACACTGCAGGATCTCTTACCTCATCTTCACGCTCATTCTTGAAGCACAGACAAGCTGCTCGTTTCTTGAAGCCCTCGCAATCGTACGTCCTGGTCTGGTTCGGTTTGAGCTTCATCCTGATTTTTTTCTGCCTCCTTCAGATAGAACCGGCAAAAAGAGAGGGTGGTCCAACGAGTTAACAACAGAGCCGCCACATTGCTGCTGTTCTCTGCATCCGTGGTCCGAGATGGTCAGTCATATGAGGAGGAGGGACTGTTGGAGAAATTCCAAAGTAACCGTCAGACTCTCTTAGATTTATGTTTTACTCATAGAGTCAGTGCATCTGGAAGACAGGATATAGATGCAGGTCGAGGCGCCACACGCTGCCTGTGACCTCCAACCAGCTGTGTGTGCAGTGCACTCCCGCGGGCGGAGATCTTATGTAGAATGCAGCCTACACAGCACAACCCTCCTCTCCTCCTCTGGATCCATTTGCGCATGGCCGCTGATGACACAGTAATGAACAGGCAGACTGTGATTTTTTGCATATCCAGGCCACTCCTCTGGGGCGGGAATGAACTCATTGGTCTGACGAGATTCAGTGGGTAGGGCTGCAACTCAGGTCAAAATAGTCATAATAAACATAGGAGTAAATCGTGCTGATTCCAAGAAACTGGACCTTGTTGGGCGAACATTGTAAATGGAAAGGCTTACATTTACAAACTCCTGCTTTCATCATGCAGCTCTTCAGCTACAGTCTTGATGTTTGCAAGGTGTGTAAATTGTAAAATACATGAATGTAAGAGCAAACTATATCTTTTAAATAGACAATATAACAATAAATAGGTTTATCCTTACTGTGAGTTCTGAGTTTATTGTGACTAATATAAAGCACAACAAAAACCAGAGCACAGCCAGGAAGATGGAGATTTCTATTTTTGAAAATAAAGTCAAATAAAAGTCGTGTTTAAGGTTTTGCAATGAAAACATTTTTAAAAAGGGATGTTGATGTGGAAATGTGCACAGGATCACGTACTACACGTTCTTTGAGTAGTCACATCAAACCCATTGTGTTGGGAAATTAATCAGTGACTCCCATTTTTCACTGAATCACTCTCTGTTTGTGTGTGTGAAAGAAAAAGGGAAGAGGCCTGTACACAACCCTTTAAGCACATGTTCAAATCCATTTTGACAAAAATATTTATGAAACTGTGTTTTACATCAAGGTCAGAGGTCTGGTAGAGGGGGAGCTGTGACTGTGAATAAGCACCACTCCTGACAACTCCTCCTGACTAAATACATTACTGTAAAATCTATCTCAAATGCTATTTGGTGGCACTCCCTTGCTGTAGCTACATTAAAGTCATATAATGTCAGGTGAATGAATAATGCTGTCCCTTCCCTCAGTGACAACTCCACAGGTTGGGTTTTATAAACTGTAACTGCAGCGAAAGCAGCTGTAATGTAACTGATCAAATGATTAGTCACTGTTTCAGTAATCTGATTCATTAATGGCAAGTCACACAGTAGATAACAGAGTTTAATAGAACATCGTAGGGTGCCTGTGTTATGGTTTAGTCCCCCTCACCAGGAGGGTGAGGAGAACACAGGGACGAGAAGACAGGACTGGTGTAGCGCGCGTGCGCTGAGGCGTTAGCCGTCCGGTACCTACGGCTGGGGAATCACCGTCAGGTACACATGGCTAGGAAAGTACGCCAACAACGTGTGGCCCGGCTATACGTCCTCAACATATCCGTGTCTCACATAGTGTAAGTTAATGCCCCAGCGACGACGGAGCGTCTGCCAGAGGTTTAAATAAGGTAGGGAAGTCATTACAATAACGCACCTCAGCTGTGCGCGACAACTCACGAGTCACTAATTACAGAAAGCGACACAGCTGGGGCGCTGATCCCACAAAAAGGAGAGAGCAGGAGGGAGAAAGACAGAAGAGAGGCAGGTCGCGCCAAGTGGAGCTGACAGCCTGTGATGACATCAAATCTGCGTCCACGTGTTCCTTTGCCCCCAGGTCCACCTTTGACCTGCTGCATCCCGAGGATGATCCACATGTTGTAACTTTGATGACGTCAAAAGCCAAGTGACCTCCAGGAGACTGATCAATCAAAGAATGAGACTAATCAAAGTGGGTCAAAGAGTGAGACAATCCAAGTGTTTGTGAAGGTAAACAAGTATTGTTGCCAGTGATTCTTTATCTTATGTGATTACCTACAGTACTTTCAGGCTGTGGTAGACAACATATTGGGGGAGGGGGGGGCAGGTTTATGCATGTAACATCAATCCTTTGACTCTCAGTTAGTGTCTTAATGTGAAACTTATTCTGTCTGTTGTTGTGATGAACTCACTGGTGGTGTGATGGGACTATAGCTCAACCAAACTGGTAAACATAAACTGGTAAACATGTTTTAAATCCTGATTATTGTTCTATACACAACCCAGAAATTCCTCAGTGTTGATGAGAGAAATCACTGCAAGCACAAGTCATGTTGTCAGTTTAATCACAGTGGTCATCGTGTTACTGGAAGCCCCAAAGCATCATCATCTTGTTTTAGCTGGGTTATACTGGCATCATGTGGCTCTGACCATGATATGATTTATAGCATGATATTTGATGCATATTTCAAATGTTGTCAAAACATAGTAATTGTGTTACCTAAAATAAAATACCTAAATTAATGGTTTCCTCATGGAGTTCAATATAAAGACACAAAGAGATAAAAGAAAAAGTTTATGGTAAATATGTGGATGCCTAGGTAACTGTATATTCGGTGGATTAAAGGGTCATCTGAGTTCAAAAATGACTGAAAAAAATCTGATAATATAAGAAAGTCTGAACATTTTGGAGGATTACTACAGGATTAACAGTTTTAGAGAACTGTAGTTTATGAATAATATCTGAACTTGGGTGACTTGTTTAAAGAGTAATGTATTTACAAAAGTGTAATGTTGTTTGCATATAATGTGTGATATCTAGGTATCAACTCATGACTTCAGTTAAAAGATAGATGGAGGGCCAAAGGTGCCAGAAATGAATGTCTGCCACACTGAGCTAAAACTAAACAGAAATGCTCCCAGAAGAAATATATATATATATATATAATACATATGCTACAGTTACTCATTGTATTATGTAGACAGAGAATAGCAGTTACAGTATAGACATGCTGACATTCAGACTCACAATCATACATGGAACCTAATCTGCCTTCTCTTTTGCTTGTGATCCACTCAGTGTTTGCAGTCAACAGCGATTATACATATAAAATCCTGAGCTGATTAGCTCACCTATAAGTCTCTTCTTTGACCTTACCACCAAGTCTTCAGAAATAAGGCATGTCAGAGTATGGTTATTTGCCAGACAGGGATAATTTGAGCCACAAAGCTGAAATGCCTTCTAACACAAATTCTGATAAAGATAATGACAAGGAGACATCATTTATCTGCTCCTAAATTTAGTTCATGCATAATCATGCAGGTGCTGTCAGGCTAATTTTAGACTGGGCCATCTGTTATCCTGTAATGTCGTCATAATGAAACAGCAAATTCAAAGTAAAGCTTTAGTAAAGTCATCTTTTCCTGATATATACATTTGGTAAACAAAGATGGGGCAGTTGTTTGCAGGTACAGACGGTGACATGAATGTCTTCATGCATGGAGCTCATCCACTTACACAGTGAGCTCCTGAAAGCCAGCCAAGACCACTAAGATGTACTTGTATGTGAGCTGCTGTCACTTTTGAATATAGAGCCTGTAACACCTCTGCAATTGGATCTGTGCCCTGTAAAAAGATATTTCAACACCAAGGTAGAAAGAGAGAACTCAGAGAAACTGGCCCTTTCTGCTTGTCCTCAGCATGTGTTAGTTTCATCAAAACCTCATATTTTAAGTTTGTCAAATTTACACTGTTAGCCCGAAACAATTTACTTAAAGCTAATTGGTGGCCCTGACCCGGTGTCAGAGCTGTAGTAAATGCTAGAATAGGTAATGAGAAATTAATGTTAGCTACTATATAGTTAAGCTTAAATAACATCAGGGTTCTACTTTCTATTATGTTTATACTGTTGAACAATGAGTGGAAATCCTGCACTGGGTTCAGTGGGTAACCTGCCAAAATGATGTTTAATGAAGAAAAAAAAATTTACAGTAAGTAACTGGTACAAGCCCAGATAAAAATGAACTAAATGTGAATATTAGAACAAAGCGAAATATAAAAGAATTGAAAATAAAGGCACTTTTTTATCTAAACCAATATGATTTTATCAAGAGTAACTAGTTGCTATGATTTTTTGCATGTAACATAACCTTTCACCTCTCAGGTCATTATCAGTAACTTACTGATAGCAAAGAAGAGTCAGATTCAATATGTGGCCAGATCATTACTGCATAATGGGCTATCTTTGTGTGACTTTGCATTACATCAGCAACGAGAAGGAGCTGACTGAGTGAGTGAGCTTTGCCTCCAGTACATACATACAGTTTGGATTTTTTAAAATAGGTGACTGTAGCCTCTGTGTTTAATCAGTGTTACAGGTGGGCTGGGTCCAGATTTGATTTGAAGATAACTGTGACTCATTTACAGAGCTGATTGCTCCTCTATGTTCAACAGCTAGTCACTAATTTAGTTTGTCTGCCTTTTGATGCCATATAGGTGATGAAGAGAACATTTATTTGAGCTTTTTACTAAAAGATTTGGTTGTTGCTGGTGGGAACATTGCTGATGATAGCGATGAGAATAAATCTAGACAATACAGTTGCAACCTGCAAAATGAAAACACTGATTTAAAAGATGCTGAAATCCTCTGTAGAGCCGAGGAAAACTGCAGAACTGGCAATAATGTTCTGTGAGTTTGTTACCATCGGCAACACCTTACAACCTACACTTCATTTGATCCGCTGTTAATGTAAAGATAATGATTAGTTCAGCTTTAATTCACTCACACAGGGCTGTTGAGCGGTAGCATAAAGTCAATACTCGGTTGCATTTGTATGGCGGTCTAAAAAGACACGTGGCGTTTTCCAGTCAGTGCCCCATGAGATCACACTGGAAAACAACACACATCAACATCTCTTCTAACAGTTTATACAGCAGAATAAATACAGGTCTCAAGACTGCAGATACAAGAAAGACAGTAACTTGGCTGAAGGGCACAATGAGTGTTTGGTGGTGTATATTAAAGCCTGTCATTATGATAACTGAACATAAAATAGACTCAATGCAGGTAAACATCACTTAGAGATGAATTATAATCAGCGAGACAGGGATGGATAGGATGGGGTCATATATGTTTTTTGTAATCAGATTAATTTATTGTTAAACAAAACATTATAAATACATAAATAAGAAATACCTGTGTAACCTTGATGGTCTAAAAAGTTAGACTGAAACTTTAAATTGTTATGAATAATAAAGACTTTACTTTGTAATGCCAGCGTTAACTACTGCTTTCAAGACTTTTGAGGCTACTTGTGGCCAAATGTTTCACTCACAAT